ATATATATTTTTTGTTTATGAAAAACATGCATTCTTGCACACTGACACAGTGATCTGGGGGAAAGTGACACAGACAAATTTCCATTGCATTCCTCAGAAGAGCCAGAAATACTATTCTCTAATGGTGAGTTGCTTCTCTCTCAGAAGACTTAAATTTTGTTAGGATTTTAGTCCTTTCTTTTTTCTCAGAAGAAATTAGTATTTCCAGAAAGTGAAAAGTAATTACTGAGTTTGATTAAAAATTGCATATATTTTCCCATCCCTATCTACATTTATGAGTGGGCAGTGTAAAAATGCTTCTAATTAAGGAGGAGGTGTGCTTGTATTTGTTGTAATTCATGAGGTTCAGAAGATTTTAAAAACAGCACCAAGGGTTTGGGGGTGGGAGTTGTTGGTTTTCATTTAAAAATAAATGGAGCCTTAGCCGGTTTGTCACAGTGGATAGAGTGTTGGCCTGTGGACCAAAGGGTCCTGGGTTAGATTTCCAGTCAAGGGCACGTACCTGGGTTTCCGGTTCATTCGCAGCCCGGGTTGGGGTGCACGTTTGGGAAGCAACCAATTGATGTGTGTCTCTCACATTAATGTTTCTCTGTCTCTCTCTCTTCCCTCTCTCCCTCTCTCCCTTCCACTCTCTCTAAAAATCAATGGAAAAAAATATTCTTGGATGAGAATTAAAAAAACAAAAAAGGAAGAAAAAAAGATAATAGCAGCCTCCTGAACAAAAGTTAATCTATATGCTAGCACTCAAATAGCCTTGGTCAGAGATGAGACCAGTAAGTGAGAGGAAGACATAGGAATAATGAAAGTTTCCTTATTGATGGCACAAGAGATTGGCTCAACATCCTACTACATCTGGAAGAGCTGAATTCAATCAAACTAATCTATGGTGAGGAGCTGTGGGGAAGAAGTCCATTTGCATTCTGTGTGTGTGTGTGTGTGTGTTTTAATATATATGTTATTAATTTCAGAGAGGAAGGGAGAGGGAGAGAGAGATAGAAACATCAATGATGAGAGAATCATTGATTGGCTGCCTCCTGCATGCCCCACACTGGGGATTGAGCCTGCAACCTGGGCATGTGCCCTGACCGGAAACTGAACCGCGACCTTCTGGTTCATAGGTTGATGCTCAACCACTGAGCCACGCTGGCCAGGCCATTTGCATTCTCTTTGAATAATAAGGGTATTAGTTGTAAAGTGACTGCAAAGACAAAGCTACTCCCTAACTTTAAGTCTCATTCCAGTGACACTGGTGACTCTGGGGAGGCAGGCATACTGAAGTTCTCTCTGGCATCTAGGACATGGTCTGGGATTGCATGAAATATATATTCCTTCCATGGTGATTTGACTCATGGCTTTACTTCTGAGAGGCCTTAACCTCTGTTCAGATAAGTTGGGTAAAATGTTTGTTTCCCTGGTCTATAAAAATATTACCTCACGTAATAATTTTCCTGGCAGAGAGAAATTTACTTCATTCTGATATCACCGGTATTTATAATAAACTAGAGGCCCAGTGCACAAATTTGTGCATGGGTGGGGTCCCTCGGCCTGGCTAGCAATTGGGGCCAATTGGGGCCACCTTGCCTAGTCCCGATCTGGGTTGATCAGGGTCAGCCATGGGGAGGGACCACAGGAGGTTGGCCAGCTGCGGGAGGTTGGCTGTGGTAGCACACTGATAATCAGGGGGCAGCTCCTGCGTTGAGTGTCTGTCCCCTGGTGGTCAGTGTGCATCATAGCAACCTGGTCGACTGGTCATTCAGTCAACTGGTCATAACAGTCACTTAGGCTTTTATATATATAGATGAGTGGTCTCATTGTAAAAAACAAAATAATAATTTTCCTGGCAGAGAGAAATTTACTTTTCTTCATTCAGGTATCACTGGTATTTATAATAAATGAGTGGTCTCATTATAAAAAACAAAATAATAATTTTCCTGGCAGGCCTCCCCTCCAGAGGAAGTCTTAGAATCATACCAGTCACTTCTCATCCTAGCCAAATATGTTTCTAAAATGCTGTTTTTGACACTAGTTATATATTAAAATGTCACTTTTACATCTACAGGTAAAGAATTTATAGAAAAAAAGAAGAAAAGGGGATGTACTTTTGAGGTATTCTCATAGTGACTGTCAAGTATAGAAATTCCAAGATGTCAAATTGAAGTTACATTTTCTTTTTTTTTTTAGTCATTTTATTTATTTATTATTATTATTATTTTTTTTAAAATATATGATCGATCAGCTGCCTCCTGCACATCTCCCACTGGGGATGTGCCCGCAACCCAGGTAACATGCCCTTGACCGGAATCGAACCCGGGACCGTTCGGTCCACAGGCCGACGCTCTATCCACTGAGCCAAACCGGTTTCAGCTGAAGTTACATTTTCAGCCACATAATTCTTTGTTGTAGGGAAGGCTGTCCTGTGCATTGTAGATTGTTTAGCAGCTTATTTGACCTCTACCCACAAGATGCTAATAGCCCCTTCTGAGTTTTGACAACCAAAAAGTCTCCAGACATGACAAAAACATAAAGTCATCCCAGTTGAGAACCAGACCAAAATACTCAACGATTTTTCCCCACCCCCCAAAAAAACTTCACTAAAGTTAGTTATAAAATGGACTTCCCCTAGAAATGAGAGGATTTAGATAAAATCAGGTAGACAAGACTAAATTCTTATAGTAAGTTATAAAAGGTCAAGTGAGAATATTGAGTTTTCCTTTTGAGACTGTTGCCAGTATGCTATGTTTGACTGTTACCTCAGATGCCAGCCTGCCTCTTACCTCAAGTTGAGAAAAGCCTAAAATGGATTTGTTCAGGTACTTGAGATGTGTCTCTTACAGTTTGAGGGGCAGAGTGGACCTGAGTGTACTCCTGCAAGGAAAATACAGAGGGACCAGAGAAGGACTGGCGGGTATTTTAGTAGCAGAGGAATACTGAAGCTGAACTGGGATTGGCCTATCCTCCCAAGTCAGTTTGGACAAGAAGCGCATGAGAGCTTCAGGTGGGCCAGCTGTGGATCAACCATACAGTGCTGCCCTCAACAGCACCATCAGAAATATGTTCTCCTTTGTCCAGAAACTTCATTGCCATCTATTGGAAAATAGTCACACTAATTTAGTTTGGACAAAACACTTTACTGCCACTTCCTATAAAAGTTAAGAACTTTCCTGTTTCCCTTTCTTTTCTTCTCTCTCCCTCCCTTTGGGTCTGGTTGGTAAGCTAGAAGAGGGCAAGACAGACCAGGCATGATGCCTCTCCACCACAAGGAGTGAGCTAGCTGTCCTAGCTGGATAAGAGGGAAGAGTTTCACTCTTTGTGACTCAATGACAAAGGACTTTCTATTACTGAATGGGGTGTATGACAGATCTACTTCCCCTGCACAGGTTTAAAGGGATGGCAAAAGATAAAAACAAAGGTATTCTGTCTTATTTTTAAAAGTTAAAAATAATATGTTGAACATACTGGTTACCTATTATAAAGTAAGATCTGGAAAAAATGTCTTCCAAAAACATGTTCTTGAATTTTATAGAGGAAAATGACCATTAAATCAATTCATTTGTTTTTTGAGATTCCCATATGTTGGGAATAGGGCATATAAATGCAAGGGAATCTTGTCCTCTGGGAACTTACAGTCTTGTGTTTCATACTCAGAATAAAGTACCTATTACAGTCAGTTATGTCAGCAAGAGCCTATGTTGCATAGGCGGGGCAGGCTCAGGAGGATTTTTACTCTAACAATTTATTCTCTTATGATTTTTACTAGATTATGATTAAGCTTTAGAAGCAATCATTTTGCTCCTGTTCTTCAAGCATGAAATCACAGGTAAAGCTTCCATTTAAGATGTTTAAAGAGAGATGCAAAGCTGATTGCATAGGATGCATCCTGATTGGGCTTCTATGAAACCAGGATCTGTCTGGTTCTCAGTTTGGCAGATACAGTAACTTACATTTCACTTCACTCCAACTTAATCAGGCTCTGGGAGATTAATTTGGATAAAACAGCTCTATAATTCAACCCAGTGAACAGAGCCTGATTATAAACCATGATGTGAATTCATTAATTGAGAAAGACTGTATAGCTAGTATAACTAGAACCAGTCTGTGCCTTGGACAATTGTTTCTCACTGGGTGTGCTGATCTACTCTGAGACCCCTTGAGGGATGGGAAGATTACTTGATGAGTGTGGAATCACAGTAGGGGCCTTTATATGTTCTTAAAAGAATATTCAGGATTTAAGTTTGCTAGATATAAACCCCAAATAGGCAGGAATCTTATTTGCTAAAGTATCCTAATAGACTAAAACTTAGTAAACACTCAGTAAATATTTGTTGATTGTGTGACTGATCCAAGTTAAGTTTTTTTTAACTGTCCTGATCATGGGTATTGGTCCTGGTTATTAGAATCAGTAACCTTTCTCTTGGACAGAGTGGGAGCTCACAATACATTCTTATTGAGATTCTGCTGGACTCTTTATGGACTCCACCCTTCTTTTATGACAGTATCAACTGGGCATGTGACACTTAAGTTACAGATTATTTATTTTACTCTGATGAAAGTTGGGAGCCACCCTGGCCTCTGTAACACATTTACAGATCATCTCATAGGGTGACTTTTTTTTTTTAAATATTGTCTCAAGTTCTATGAGGGTTCTTTGTTTTACATTTTCCAGGTTACTGACTTCCAGCTGAGGCAGGTAGGGGACAAGCGAATCGTGGTAGTTTATATTTTTACAGACACCCAGAATTTTTTGTGTAGGTGTGGATCTACCCACTGCCAGGGCGTCCAAAGGCAGAACATTGCGTTCTACTCAATGGAACATCTAAAGCCCTGAACAGACTGAAGCAAAGCAGAAATGGGCTGAATATGCAAACCTTTGGGAGCGTGTGGGAGCTGCAATGAAGTACAGGCGCCCAGGCTCAGAGTGCTCCCCATTCTTTTTTTCTCATTTCAGGCCTGCCTCTCAAACTCTGGTTTGGTATAGAAAGCTCCCTGTGAACACGTTGCCTATGGACTTTCATATTCTCAGACTCCCTCGGCCTCAGAGGCATCTGTGCTCTCTAGAGCCGCGGTTCTCAACCGGTGGGTCGCGACCCCTTTGGGGTCAAACGACCCTTTCACAGGGGTCGCCTAAGACCATCGGAAAACACATATATAATTACATATTGTTTTTTTTTCATTTCTTTTTTTTATTAGTTAAGGTATTACAAATGTATGGTTGGGGGTCACCACAACATGAACTGTATTAAAGGGTCACGGCATTAGGAAGGTTGAGAACCACTGCTCTAGAGTCTAGGCCACGTCCTCACGTGAGGAGGCTGGTGGGAGGCGGCCCTGGTCCCCGACCTAACCCCGGTTCTGGGACCAGGAGCGTGAGTCACCGCCTCGGTCCGCCGGCGGTTTTTCGTGAAGGTCTCGGTGCTCCTAACTTGGACAAGGGCACCCGGGTCATTCTGGCCTTTGCAGGGGGGCACGACTCCCCCCCACCCCCCGCAGAGCCCAGGCGCAACCTCAGTCTTCCGGCCGACCGGTCCTTATCCTTCCTACAGCTCCTCCCCAGACTGAGGAGCCCCAGACGCCTCCCTCAGGCCCGCGCCCGGCTTCTCGCACCCCAATCCAGGGCCCGAATTCGGGAGAAGCAATGCGTTTCCGAAGCCCGCAGACCCCGAGCCTGCTGCTGGGGTCTTGGGTATCCCCGCCCTCGCGGCGCGCAAGCCACGCCCCTCCCGCCCCTCCCACGTACGTCACGTCCGGCCCGGCCCCTGTCCGCCCTCCGCCCTCCGCGCTCCTCCCGCTGCCGTTAGGGAGGCTCTGCGCCTCAGCTGCTGCCGCCGTCGCCGCTCCCGCCCCCTCTCCCGTGTCTCCGACGCCGCCCCCGCCGGGGACATCCGGGGGTTGCTTATCGGGCTGGCCCCGTGCCTCAGCCGCCGCTTTAGACCCTCGCCAGCGGCCGTCTTCGGAAGAGGCTTGCCGGCCGCGGACGCGCTCGAGGCCTCAGTTCTCGTCCTCCTCCCGTCCCCGCGGGTCCTGGAGAAGCGGCCGCGGCCGGGGAACGGGGCGTCGCGGTTCCAACGGTAGGTGAACGGGCGGGTACCCTGTCTGCGCATGCGCCGGTCGCCGCGGCTCTCCCCCCGCCTTGCCGCCCACCAGCGCCAGTCCCACCCGCGCGGGCCCAAGGGCGGTGCGCGTCGGGGAGCTGGGGTGCCTGGGCAGGACCCTGCTGGTGGGGCATTTGGTAGAGAGGGCCCCCTTTCTCCCCGAGGGAGAGCGAAGGAAGCGGTGCCCAGGCTGCCGGGGTGTGAGGGGGCAGCCTTCGGTTTTCAGCCGCTGCAGTGCGCGTGAGCGGCGTGCCTTACCTCCCCGCTCCTCCCAAATACAAGCGGGCACCGCAGCCCACATTTGTTTGCCGGCTTCCCCTGCACGCCGGCCCCGCGCCGCCTCCCTGCCCACTTCCTTTATGCTGGGCAGCGAAGTTCATGCAGAAAAGGGAGTGTGGTTCGCTACAGGCTCCACTGCGCCCCTTTTAAAGATCACGTGAGAGGAGCGAGTGCCGACTTCCTTAAATCGCTCGGAGAAGGTCGCCGGAATTAGGCTGCCGGTGCCCTGGGGACTGGTCTAGAAGGCACTGCGCACAGGTCAGGCCAGAGGGCACTGCGTTACGTTTCCGGGGGGGCCTGGTTTCCGAGATAAGGTTATAGGAAATGGAATCGGTTGGCACACTTGCCCAGTGGGAATTTGTGAGCTTTTTTGTTTTTAATCAATGAAAAATAAAGTTGACTTTTAGAAAGACAGTTGCAGAATTGCATTCGGTTCCCCATTATGCCGTCGAATTAATGAAAGAAGTCTCTAAAGTATTGGGCTTTTATCTTTCAAGTTTGTGATCATGTAAAAATGGCAACCGGAGCCACAGTATTGCTGACTGTGAACAAATAACTGGGATGCACTTAGTTTTAAAAAGGCAGACATTAAAGGATAGTTTTGAATTAGGTGACTCTGGGTTAATGTGAGGCTACTTTTGTCGTCAACTTTCCTTTTTTGTTATCTTGCTCTACTTGTTGGCCCGGTTTCTCACAGGTCTATGCATTTAGTAAGTACTTGTTGAATGGAATTGAATGCTGGTCATCATTTGTACGTCCATTGGAGCGCCTTCTTACTTCCTTAATCTGTGCTGCTTTTAAAACTGGGACAGAGCCCTGGCTGGGCAGCTGAGTTTGTTAGAGCGAGGTCCTGATAATCCCAAGGTTGCACCTGGATCCCCTTGCAGGTTGAATCCTGGTCTGGGCACATAAAATAATCGACCAGTGAATGTGTAAGTAAGTGAAACAACAAATCGATGTCTTTTTCTCTTTACCTCTCTCAAATCAACAAATAAAATGAATACCGCCCCCTCCCCAAACCCAAAAAAACTGGGGCAGTATATTCTCCAATTTAATTGTGTCACCAATTAGGGATCTGTGACAGTTTCAGTCCTTGGAAAGATGTAGGAAGGCATATCACAGTGTCATAAAATTCTTCATTGGGTGAAATAAAATATTTTTTTATTAGGATGCCATTGTTTTAGTACAGAGAAAATGGCGGAAATGTTTTTCTCCAATAAAATGACTACTTTTATTATCATTTATGAATAATCTTGGTCTGCATGGCTTCCCTCTTCATTGTACACTAACTTTAGTATTGGGGAAATAGTAGTATAAATTGCTATAGCTATACTGTTTTTGCACTCAAAGTTCACAGTCTAGTGGAGAAGACAGATATACAAATAAGTATAATTAGTATTTTTTTTGTTCATGTTCCAGCTTCCTTCCATTTCCCCAAAGCAGTTTTTACACGTCTGTGCAAAAAGAGAAATGTCCTGATTTCAAAGGATTCATTTGGCTAGAACAAGTTGTTCAATTACCCTTAATATCCCTTATACAAAAAATGAAGTTTGTTGTAGTTTTGTATTAATGAGCTATAAGAAATGATAAACTGGTCTTCTTAAGACATAACTCATTGCGCTAAGTGGGCCCTTGGTGTGCATCCTTTCAATGGAGAAGAGGTGAAAGGTTACTAGAATAGAGGAGTCTTGAAGAGTACATTTGTAAAAATTATGATTATACACACACATAACTGACAAGAATGTGTTCTCTATTATGCATATAAAATCGTGTACCTTTTTAAAAAAAGGATCCATCATTGTGCTGATACCTAGTGGGAAGAGCTAATTTAGCAGCTATTCACTTTGACTTAATAGAAAATCATGCTAAATTAGCAGACCAGTGACATTAAGTGGGGAAAGGGAATCTTTGGGGGGCCATCTAGCCATTAAAGGTTTGCCTCTTAATCAGGAGACAAGCATTTAAAGTGTCACCTTTCCTTATACTTGCATAAGTAAGATTAAACTTTCTCCTGTTTTTTATTTTATTCTTAATGTACTGATATGTCAACCATGTAGAACTCTAGATCTGACAGATATTTCAGAGGTCATCCTTTGGGGAAATTTATCTAATTTTGGAGACTAACTCCAGGTACCACATGGTCTTCTTGGCTTTTTGAATCAGAATTGTGGTTGGTTTCTAAGTAAATGTGAGTAAATAGTTTGCCCTTTAATGGTGCTTATTTTAATGTTACGGTTTTTTTAAGACTTTCATTAGAAAGATTTGCAGTTAGATTCAGTGGCACATTCTAGCATAACCATTTCAAATTTTGAAGTTTAGCCAAGTGAGTTGAGACTCACAATACATGTAAAAGGGGAATAGTGCCTGCTTTGCAGCATTCTTTTTTATTTTTTTACCTTTTTACTTTTCCTTTTAATCTTTTTTGCTATTTTTTTGTTTTTTAATTGTTTTATTGCTTAAAGTATTACAAAGAATATTATATATGTCTCCTTTTTTTTCTCCCCTTGACCCTCCCCTAGCCTCCCATGCCCCCAGGTGTCTTGTGTCCATTGGTTATGCTCATATGCATGCATACAAGTGCTTTGGTTGATCCTTTTAATCTTTATTGTTGAAAGTATTACATAGGTCCTCCTTTTTCCCTCATTAAGCTCTTCACACAGCATTATTCTTGGTATGAGAAATAACCTGTAAAATGCTTACAGATATTCTATAAATGATGGTTGCTTTCCCTTCTTGATTTGATTATCTTTGGTTATTGCCGGAAGTCGGTATGACAGCTTTTAACGTTGAATAGCCAACATTATTTGCTTCTTATTTATGTCTTTATTCAGCATATATTAAAAAAAATTAAATTATGTGTCAGGCATTATGTGAGGTCTTTGGTGATACAAATGTGAAATGACATGGTTCCTGTCTTCTATTGTGTGAGGTAATTGCTAAAAAGGTGAAAGGTACATTAGGAGCAAAGAACTGTCTGTCCCAGGAAGTAAGGGAAGGTTTGACAGGAAGCTGGAGTTGAGACTTTTTAAAAAAATTAATTTATTTTTTAAAAATATATTTTTATTGACTTCAGAGAGGAAGCGAGAGGGAGAGAGAGATAGGAACATCAATGATGTGAGAGAATCATCGATTGGCTGCCTCCTGCACGCCCCACACTGGGGATCGAATCCACAACCCAGGCCCTTGACCAGAATTGAACCTTGGACCTTTCAGTACTCAGGCTGAGGCTTTATCCACTGAGCCAAATCGGCAAGACCTGGAGTTAAGACTTTTGAAGATCAGTGTAAGTTTGTTGAACAAGATGGCGTTGGTCATGGTGTTGAGTTAGGGCTCCAAGCACAGAAAATAGTATGTGCAAAACCTGTGTGAACTTCAACTAGTTAAGTATTTATTGCTGAAGAGTCCAGTCAGGTGGAGGAGTATCAGGAAAGGAGATTTTACTGGTAGATGACATACTTGGAGACCATGCAATGAAGTTTAGAGTTTATCCTGTATGCCAGAGGTTCTTAAAACTTTGTATGTATTACAGTCACCTGAATGCTGCTTTGGCTTGTGGCTTTGCATTCTATGCAGGGTGGGACAAAAGTAGGTGACCCTGGCATATTGTATCTGAGCCTCAGTTTCAGGTTTATAGTTGCTTGTATAGAAGATAATACAACAGTTAATAAATAATAATCCAAGAATAAACTCTGTTTTCTGTATTCACAACTGTAAACTTACTTTGAATGAACCCCTCCCCATTCCCAGATGAAGTAGGAGAACCAGTGCTTTGGGTTGCTGTTCTCAAAAGTGAGGTACTGGTACTGGCACTTTGGATAGGCAGATGACCTATTGAGTGAGTGTGTGTGTGTGTGTGTGTGTGTGTGTGTGTGAGAGAGAGAGAGAGAGAGAGTGAGTGTGTGTGTGTGTGTGTGAGTGCGTCGGATCTCAATGTCTCCCCCATTCCCTCCCTTCCCTCTCTAAGTCAATACACCTGCCCTCAGCTGTGGCCTGTGAGGCAGGAGGCGATGGGGGTTTGCAGGTATATTTGTTTATTTTAAAAATATTTTTGTGTATATTTATGATATGCATAATATGCTAGTACAATGTTCACTACTCTACTTTAGAAAAATACATACATATATGAGGGCTGTGCTCATAGTTTCTTTCCTGATTAAAAAATATATTGTCTTGGCCTCTAGGCAGTAGGAAAAAAATTAGGAATTTTGTGCAGGGGAATTCAGATTAGGTTTTAGTATTGAGATTGGTGAGAATAGATTAGGGGACTTGTCACAGGGAATTTTATTTCTCTCTGGCTTTATTACTTTTGTCTTAATTTCAATAACTTGAAATCATGGTTATAGGTTATAAAATATTTGTGCCCATGAAACCCTTTTTGAGTTTGTCAAAAATTAGGCAATTTATTACCAATAGATTATCTCTAGGGGCAACCAATTTTTGCCTGAATACTTTGAATAAGAGAGGAATAGTAAGCTGTCTCTAGGTGAAATGTTTTACATTAGGTGAGTTGCAGTCTGAAAAATATGTGCTGTATCTAGTACCACAATTTGGCAAGGATAGTCCTACAAAATATGCTTGATTCCATTGTTCATTGTAGTTTCATGGAATCACCATGGGGTATTGTTCCCTCACATAGTATGTTGAGCCCCAGCTGGTTTTGGCTCAATGGATAGAGTGTCCCCAGGTTCGGTTTCGGT